AAGATTTCTGTGCGTGGTTAGTTTTACAGTCCATTCACGATTTTTACAATTGTTAAACTTCAACCATGACATTTACTGGTACATTTCAGCACATTTTTGACAGATAATAATAAAATTGTCTAAAATATTGTCAGAATATTCACTGTTGTCAATATTACTCAACAGATAACTGCCATACACGTAGTTTTCGTGTTAACTCCACAGTGCTAACCTGATTCTGACAGATAGTATCTTCATCATCGCCGCCTTCAGTGTACACTTTGTGCCTGTCATTTTGAGACTCCTGTATTTCTGAGCGGCTGGTTGGAAAATGTGCTGGTCTTTTATTTTTTATCACACTGACTGAGTAAGATTTGTGCGACGCTAAATGTCTAGTGACAAGAGGAGAAAGAGGGAAAAGGCTGAGAGCTAGCTGACATGTTATGAGCGGATGGCACCAACTTTCTCTGTGTGGAGTTAAATGATGAAAAACATAAAGGGACACGCTTATTAAAAGGTGCACAGTGTAACTTCTGTAACAACTTAGAGGTCAGATCTGAAGAGAGGCAACCCCACTCACAGTGAGCCTATTTTTCTAGGTATTTTTGAGCATAAACAAAATTAATAATAACCAGAACGTGGCAAATGGAACATATCACCAGACAAGTAAGGCTAATCACACTGGACCTTGTTGGCATGTTGAAGCCTTAGAATTAGGGATGGTCATTCGATAAAATTTTCTTAATCGATCATCGGGAGAATTAACGATCGATTATTGATTAATCATTAACGGTTTTTATATACAAATTTATCATCATTACTATTACTATCTATACTACTAATCTGCATAAATAAATTCAACTTTACGACATATAAACCGTAACCACTCTAGAGCCACATCAGTCCGTTTGAGATTATAATGTGTTTAATGCAGATTTGCGCAAGTCTCACAGAAACGAAATTTAACACCGCATGGCTAATTTGCATAAATTAAGAGAAGAAAAAAAACAGCTCTTGTGCGCTGATGCAACACGACTCAGTGGAATACAGGTTAGTGTAACAAAGCTTTTTCCCACTGGACACCAAAACATATGTGCTGCTTTGTACACTGTGCACATGGCCTCCCACTTGTACCGAACGCAACGGAAAGCGTGGAATTTCTTGTACAAGTCATCGTTAAATACGCATTTGCGCTTCGGTACGCTGCAGGCTGACTGTTTGTGTCTCGCTCCTTCTGAGTGCAGAGAGCTACATGTACGGACCCCTGTTTGGTCGCCCTACGCTACGCACAGCAACCTACATTCGGTTTATCAATTAAAATTTACGTAATCGATGAAATTCTTAATGATCAATTATCGATTAATCAACTAATCATGCACATCTCTACTTAGAATAAATAAAAAAATAATTAAATAATGTTTTGCATTATATTTTATGCAGTGGTAGGTTTGAACACCATGGCATTTATTTAGGGCGGTCTACCCCCTCTGTTGAACCCAACCAGAGTTATTGACAGAAATGACATTAGCCCCTTTAATCCTGTTGATTGGCTGAAACATCAGGTGGAAATCAGTTTGATAGGGGGTGACAAACTGAGCAGTGGCACAGTTTCAAAGGTGCGCGTGTGCTAGGGTGTGTGCGCGTGTGCCTGGTGTGTGCATGGCTAATTACTGTCACTAATTAAAGTCCTACTTCGAGCTGGTCCCCAGGGGTGTGAGAGGAAAGAGGCAGGAACACTAATGGCCTCAATGACTGATATTCAGAAAAAAAGCATGGAAAGGGTGCATGTTTAAACCTTCAAACAGGTCTGTCACTGATTTTTTTTTTTAAGAGGTGCAATATAAAGAAAATTGTGCGAAACTATTAATATATCTTAATACTACATTTGGTGATACAGTAGGCTAAAGATATGGTGGGCTACTGGAGTTTATTTATTTATTTTATTCTATGGCAACATGAAAATATTGTTGAATGAAATTTGTTTATCCTACTGACACTTTGCAGCTGATGTCAATAACATTTCCTGGGGGTGTGATGCTAACTGAAGGCATTGTTCTGTCTAAAGCTCTGTTGCTCAAGTTAGACTTTAATCTGAGCCTTATTTTAACACAATCTGACCAGAAAGACCTGATTCAGTTGTAACTACAACAGGCGACCTGATTTTGTACCTGATTTTGTACTGTTAAACACACCCCTCTAAATTAAGTCTCAGAAATCACAAGTCACCCTCACCTTTTTCTTGAAACTCAAACTCCTAAACAGGTCCATGAATGCGTATTTGATACCAGACCCTGTAAATGTGTTGTTTAAATCCATTTTGTATTTTTTCCTCAATTTTCAGATTATTTTAAAGCTTTTCTGGCATTGTGCGCATTGTGCCACCATGGTAATTCCTAACCATTCCACCATTACAGATAAATGTAGAACACCCCCTCACTGCAAAGTATCAATTAAGGATCATATGTCCCAAATTGCACTCACAAAACTCAAAAATCAGAGGAAGTTTTGTGAGAAGAAGCTCAAAGGAGTTGAGTACTAGTATCAGTAACAGCATCTGCATCTCTATAGGCAAAAAGAAAGATTCATAATTCACTAACAAATCTTCAAATAACTCACTCTATGCTGTCTATTTTCAGCTGTTGTCCTTATATATCCTCATAATAATAATAATAATAATAATAATAATAATAATAATAATAATAATAAACACAGTCCACTAACACAAATTTTGGTGAACTGAGACTTCATTGACTGATTCATTGACAAAACAAAACTACAGCCCTAAATGCACAATAAAACACACTAGCAAGAGCTATCAATATTTTCTGTCCACAGCTCATATGTTACAAAAACTGAAAAAGATAACATAAAACACTACATTAAAAACTATAAATTTTGAAGCCAAAAAGTCAATACTGTGACAGGTCTACCTTCAAACTGATACAATATAAAAAAAACACAAGCCATATACATAAAATTACTCTTCCATAGAAAGTCATGTTCAAGCAGAATCAGAATGTGTGAATTACTTTATGAAATCTACTGATACATGTACCGTTAGCAGGAGCACAGCTATTGTTGAGATCTGATAAAATAGTGTGGTGTTGTGACCTTTTCACTGAGCGACATGTGAGCTCCTGCTGCTGCTGCCAGGCATTACAGCAGAGCACACGACCAACACATACTAAGATACAGTTACTTTAAGCGCATGTGACTGCTTAGATGAGCTCATTTCAATAAAACACAGCCAACATTATCATATTTGAGATTTAGCTAAAAATCATTGACAATTTTAATGAAGTTTCTAATTTATATCCTATAGATACTAATGTCATTAACATTCCGTGGGGGTGTGATGCTAACTGTAGGCATGCTCTGTCTGAAGCTCTGTTACTCAAGTTCAAATGAAGCTCAGATTAAGTCTAACACAATCTGACCAGAAAGAAGTGATTTAGTTGGAACTACAAGTGAGCTGATTTGTGCTGTTTAACAAGTCTGTCACACATACAATTACAGTCACAAGTAAGCTAGCATTAGCCAAGTTTTTCACTTACTCACACTCACCATTTTTGTGGAAAATCAAACCAAATTGAACCAAATTAATCAAATTAACAAATTTTGTATCACGGATACTCAAAATGTTTTATTTTTTTGTCACGTCGTAAAGTCATTTAGCATTTAGATCCGTTAATCAGTTAATCACTGAAAATATATTATGTCTGCTTCACAGAAATTTTAACGTTCTCATGGCGCAGGAAAGTAAAGAGTCTATTAGAAAACAGATATGCATAGGTACTTCATTACTACTCCCTGTACATACAATATACAAAGGGAAAGGTCATCTAATTTACACATTTACAAATGAAAATGTATGAAAACACTTTTATGTAGTTATATAAATATTTAAAATGTTTTAAAAGACAGGAAAGGTGAGCTTCAGAGAGTTTTCTTAGTGCAAGATACTGAATAGGTGCTCCTCAAGGACAGGGCTCAAACACTAGCAAACAGAAAATATGACTATATTTGTAGTATAAAAAGTTACTGTGACAAAGTTTTTAAAAACGGTCAAAAGGCACGTTGTTAGTGAAGGTAAAAGTTCGACAAGCTAACATCAGCCCAGATTGTGTCTTATATCATATGACTTTTACCTTCACTAACAGAGAGCCTCAGACACTTTTTAAAACTTTGTCACTTGTATAACTTTGTTATACTACAAGCATGGTCATTTTCATGCTTGTAGTATGAAAATGTCAGTCAAACAGTCATTTTCACTATTTGCTAAATAATTTAATATTACACAAAATTGATTCTTCGGAGCTTTAAGTCATGTTAGAATGTTGTTACCTCATCAAAAACAAACCCAGAGTTGTTTTGTTTCATTCAGACATTTGAGAAAGTCTACATCTCCAAAGACCAAAATGCTCTGGTCCACTTTGTAATGCCATGTAGTAGTAGTTTTCAAGTTAACAGCTCCTTTACCTTATGTCCAGTAGAGACTGGCAACTCCAGAGCTGTATAGTGGAGCACTTCCTGTATTACCATATCACACCACAAGGTGGAACAGAGTGTTTTCTATTTAAGAGAATAACTCAGATGAAATATGCAGGCTTTGGATGTTACACATGTAAGAAAGCACAACTCCAGGTATGTTTTTGATGAGAAACAAGATTTTAACATTTATCAGAAAATAGCGCAATAAGGACCCTTTTACAGGGAGTAGGCCCTTTCAAGGGTAGTAAGAGAAGGAGAGCTTTTTAGTCATTTTCTAAGTAGATTTAAGGTACAGACTACATAAAATGTTGATGATATGAAGGGAAGCAATGACAACATCAGGCAATGGATTTGTACAATGTTGGTATGACAATTAAAAAAAAATAATTCAGGAAAGTTGTAATAGGAGAAATGAGTGAGAAGAGGAGGAGAGAGAAGAAAGGAGAGGGGAGGTACACACAACAACAACAACAACACAAGAGTAGACACAGACTTCAGGACAAAAGTGTATCAGGAGGTGGGTCTTGTACCTTGCATCTGCCTCACTGTAGTATTCTCTGGCTACAATGTCCTCAAAGAGCTCCCCTCCGGTCACCCTGTGAGCAAAATACAAGAGTTAAACAAGAAGAAAAAACATGCAGATAAAAATATGATCATAGGGGTGTGCTAACGTAATCAAATATCAATATATCTAAATTTGGTGACACAGTATCAATATTGTGGGCTGCTGTATCAATATATACAGTGTTTTGTTTTTTTTAAGAAAGGAAACGTGTTTATTTGACATATTCATTGATTTATGATTAAAATAGGGGTATTTCATTTTAAGTTTGGGCAAAAACGAAATGGTGTTGTAAAATAATGCTATATATTATGTGCAGTATATATTGATTATCGCATGTATCGCCATATCCTAATAATATCGTACTATGAGCCAAGTATCATATCGAATTATGTATGACAGTATTTTACATTTATTAATTTCAAGGTGGTTTTATAGCTCAAAAATTTCAAGAAAAACAGGCACTGACTGTGAGCGGGGTCGCCTCTCCATAGACCTGCCCTGTAACTTTGTCTAGTTTAGTCTCCATGAAGATGCAAAGGTTTTAATACCAGAGAGTCAAACATGCCAGATGAAGCAATAACATCTCCATGGAGAAAAAGGACAAAAATTGACGAACCCTTCACCAGAAAAATTACACAGTGCATCTTTAAACACTGTGTTGTATTACACTATGTATAGGAATTCAATGTTAACATCACTAAAGGCTAAAATCACACTGCAAAATAAACCATGCAAATTGTCCTCTTCATTTAGTACCCCATGCCCCCCCCCCTCATTTCATACGGCACGGTCGCCATGGAAACTAGAGGGAAGATGCCGAGAGAGGGACGAATGCAGAAGGCGTAGGTGGCGGAGGGAGCAGGGGAGGTGGGCTAGTTCAAATATAGGAGAGGATTATGTAACTGTACGTTAAAATGGGCGGAGAATTGCGTACAGGAGACGTGAAGAAGACTTACAAGTCAAACAGCAGGTAGTGGAAGCCCTCCTCTGATATGCTGTCATGGAGACGCACTAGGGGCAAAAAGGAAGGAGGGGCAGTTTATTTTTGGTACAGTTTGTTGCATAGATACATTTCTTACATAATAAAATACATCAATTAATGAATATTCAAAGACTAAGTACAAGCAGTAGGGTAAGAATGGAACAATATAGGGCTGCACAATGAATCTTTTTAAAGTGAAATTTGAGTTGGTGCAATTATCAAATCGCAAAGGCTAAAATTCTTTCTTGTACCTGTAGTTTAGAGCTCTACAAACATGTCTAAAAGGCATAGTATTCTTGTATTAGTTTGAGTTCATATTTTAGTCTTCTCTCAAATGTTAACGCTCCTACAGTTGTTTACAATGTAGAATTAAACCGAATCGTACTTTTTAAAAACATATATGGCACATCTAGATCTCAACTGAAAAAAGTCGTGCAGCCCTCGAACAATATAAAATGTGTGTCATCATTATGAAATCAAAGCTTCTGAATCAAGTTAAGTTAATGGGACATAAACAGACAGATAAAAGCACTTAACATTTTTGTTAACCTTTTTTGAGTACAGGTTAAATCAAAATGACTTATTTCTCTGTCTAAAAATCTGACAATAATTATGTTTTGGGTTTTTATGATTATATTGTGATCAGTATAATCAAAATTCACTGATTAATCTTGACATCCCTGTTAGTGTATAGGTTATAATAATGTACGATATTGCAAAATGGAAAATTGTGGGATACATAAACGTACCAATGTTGGGGTGTTTTAGGAGACGACAGATTCGAGCTTCTCGTTCCAGCTTCTGGTGATCTAAACCGCAAAGAGAAGAAAAGAAAAAATATGTTTGTTAAGTTGTATATTTGACAGAAAAGCAAAAGTAGGAGTTAAAATGTGTGATATTAGAGGACTATTAGAAGTAGGAGACAAATAATGGACTAGGATCAAGAAGATGCACTAAAAGCCAGGCATATTAAAACCAATACTGTGGTATCAATTCAATGAACACAAACAGCACAAACAGAGAATCACTTTGCAGCTGATGTAGTCAACTAGGGATGTAACAATAACTGAAATAGCGTGATATTGTATCATCAAACGTCTCACAATAGTATCGTGGGGCGTCAGAATATATCGAATCACAAGTTCCTTTACTTAAATGCACTGTTTTACAGCTGCAATAGCTAATAAACATCGGGAACTACATATCCCATGATTCATTTTAGCGCAGACAACATGAAGAAATATGTTTTTATTATAGCAGTAATAATTCACACCAAAATCTTGTCAGGGTATTTTAAAAGCAAAAAAGTGTCCTATCTAAAATTATATCAGCCTGTCCAAAATATCGCAACACATATCGTACCGTGAAATGCATATCATGATAATATCGTACCGAGAGATTTGGATATTGTTACATCCCTATAGTCAACATTCTCTGGGGGTGTGACTAGTCTGTCAGCAGCTGTGTTACTCAAATTAGACTCAGTCTGAGCTTTTTAACACAGTCTGACCAGAAAGAAATGATTTAGCTGGAGCTACAACAGGTGGGATGATTTGTACCATTAAACAAGCCCCTCACACACAAAATTACAGTCACACGCTAGCAAGCATTAGCAAATGTTTTTTTCAGTTAAATCACCTAAACAGGACAATTAGCACTTGTATTGATCACAGGCTCCAGAAAATGTGTTGTTTGAATAAGTTTTGTATCTTTTCTTGAGTTTTCAGATGATCTAAAAACTTTTTGGCAGGGTTTGACCATGTGTTATCAGGGTGATGAATATTCTGCCATAGAGATACATGTAAAACACCCCCAGTGTGATGTCACTGCAAAGTATCAATAGCATATCCTGTATAACCATAACGAAGGAGCCAAATGTCTTCCAATTTAAAACCAACAGAAAGGACCGCCACAATACTACTCATGTCCTGTAGCTTGAAGGTATTTGATAAAGTCACCGTTGTATATGTAAAGTATGCAAGCTTTTCCATTTACAAATTAAATTAGACACATGTCAAAAATGGTTTTCAACTTCCTGTTTTAGGCAAAAGGATTTTGAGGGTTCTTCACAATTCAAAAGATAAATTTTGTTTTGAATTGATAATTGCTATGGCACCCGTACATTTCTTTCCATAATTCTGAAACCCATGCTGTAGATTAATGTATTTAAATGGAAACGCTTGCTGGAGCTTATATAACCGCTTAATGATCCTAGTCAACCTGGATTCCACGGCTATCAGCACACAGCAGCATAAGCCCACATAGTGCACGAGCTCAGGCTCCACAGGGGGCGGACCACCACGACACAAAGGAACGCACAGGATCGTCTCTGTCATGTTCCCCTCCACACAGCCCCAGCACACCCACACTGACAGCCACACTGAGGAGTGACAGTCAAGTGTAAGACCAGTGATTATAGTGCTCAAGATGAGAAGAGCGGGGAGGAGACACGAGAGGAGGAGAGAAAAAGAAGGGAACAGGGAGGTAACTGTGGAATAGGGATGAGCGATATGCCAAGAACAATAGCACGATTTCCTGATAGCCAGATCACGATTTAGAGATAAGGCCAATATGGGGCTGTTGACATTTTGTTGCCTGCCGGTTTTTTGTGTGTGGAGAAAGGGATGAGGAGTTGGAGAGTTTTTCTTTAATTTTTTTGTTTATTTTTGTTTTGTTAAATGTTAAAAACCATAAAAAAGTGTAGCAGTGTAACAGTTTAACAGTAACAAGCCCACATTTAGTTTGGGTCAACTGGCTACCTAAAAATGTGTATAAATCTTAATTCGAACACTCTAGTGCTAGGGTCTCTAACCTGTAGCTCTCCACTATTTTCTAAGTAGCTCACCAAAGGATTTTTGAATTATATGTATTGAGCTGAATAATTAAATTTTGCCTTATATGTCATTTTGAAGCCTAACTTGTACACTAATAAAATGATAATGATTTATAGGCATCTAACTGCACCCCATCAAAGGCTGAGGCTCTTATATTTAGTCAATTATACTAAATTTTAACAACCACTAAAATTAGAAGCTCTCTGACATTTTCATTTTGTAAAAGTAGCTCACCGGGGGAAAAAAGTTGGAGACCCATGCTTCTAGTTGGAAGAGAACACTGCATAAAATGTGACTACACAGCTCTCTTGTCCAGTTTGTAGTAAAGCAAAGTCACGAGAATGGATAAATGAGTTTCTGATAAATTAATTACATAACTGGGAAAGTTGACCAAAGTTGGCGCTATATATCAGCCAAAAATATCAACAGATGTTAACAGCCATAATTTTCTCTGGATTCTAAACAATGGTCCATGAAAAAAAAAAAAAAAAAAATATTGCATAACGATCTCTAATCATGATTCATGTGAACTTTGTATATTTAAATTGCCTTGAAAAGGTATCTTTCAAATCCACCTGTCACTCACTCAAAGAATGACCAGAGCAATGACTAGATTGACCAATAAGAAGTTTAAGTGGGAAAAATTGTCTTTGAGAGCAGAGCTGCGTTCAAGAAAACATTTTGTGGATCACAATACTGTGATTTTACCAACATTTGAAATCGTTGCAGTAATGAGATCACAATATGATTTGTATAACACCCAGTCCAATGTAAATGTAACTGATGTTTTGGGCTGAAAGGATAATTTGACAATCTGGGCTCAAAACTGTTATTTGTTCATATGACTGACAGGATTTTATATGCTATGTATTGTGATTTTCATGTCTAAACCACTTTGAATTACTTGTTGCTATCTTGACTATCTTGATCTTCTGCTATCTTGACTGGAGCTCAAGAATATCTAGTTTTATAATCATTTTAGTACTGTATGTGGTAGCAGATTTGCCCGATTGTAGATGTTATACACAAAGACAAGATGCTCTAAAGACAAAGTGAGCCCTGATTACTGAGATTGCTCAATTAAACACTGATTTCTTGCTTCATTACAAGTACAAGAACGAGCCTCTTATTGCTCTAAATTTGCAACTAACATCGAACATCCCTCTTTATAAATGGACTAAGTGAGTACCATGTTTTATCGATGCCAGACCTACCAGATGGCACGCTGTTGTCTACACATTGATAATAGTCTGGCTGATAAAATAAAAAGTAGTTTAGTAAAAATAAAGCTTGGAATCACAGGGTCTCTCATGATTAGATATGATATACAATAGATGGCTTGATATTATCAAAATATGGTGACACGAGTGATAATCAATAGATATTGCACAGTATATATTGCTGAACCAAATACGTTTATGTAACAGTTTTTCTTTGTTAACCCACTATCTGTGCAAAGTTAACATGAAATACAACATATGTCAAGCGACTGCATAAACAAGCTTCCACAACCTTCCACTAAATAAGCAACAAAAAAAACAAAAACAAAAATCAACAACCAATAAATTCTCTTGGCAATATATTGATACAGCAATAGCAATACTGTATCATCAAATTTAGTATCATGATATATTGATATTTTTGCACACCCCTACTAAAAACTCATCAGTGAAACCAATTATTAATGAGTAAATCTTCTATTAAGTCATTCAGTTATTCAATGGTCTCATTTACATTAAAAAAAATAAAAGTTCTTATTCTGTTCCATACCAGTGACCTTGTAAGATTGATGTTTTTTTGTTGTTGTTTTTTTTTTTACTTTTTATCTATGGTAGGTAATTAAAGGATCCATATTACACTATTTTCTGATCTAGGTTATAATGTTGTTTCCTCAATAAAAACATAACTGGAGTTGTGTTAGTTTTATTCACACATGTTTAACACACAAATCCTGCATATTAAGGCTAAGTTCTCTCAAACAGAAAAAAACTTGCCTGGCTCTGAACTAAAAGTGAAAGGTGGCTGTTAATGTGAAAGCTCCCGATTCATAACATTACAAAGTGAGATGTAGACAGACTAAAAATAAAGAGTTACTAAACATGTGTGAATGAAACAAAACACAAAATAAGGTATGTTTTGTTTTTGTTTTTTTACAGACGCTAGCTTTAACAAAAACTGTCTGTAATGGAAGAAAATCTTTGTATGTAACAGTCTATCAGTCTGGTCCCTATATTTACATTGGAAAGTGTGTTTAAAAACATAATATAGTCAGCTCCATTGCCTTTCATGAGCTTAGATAAATCCTCACCAAAACAAAAGTGTAAAGCAGACTGACTTACAATGAGACAGAAAAATCCACTTAGTGACAAGGAGGTCACTGTGCAGGTCCTTTATCCCTGTGTTATTCAGCTTGTGAATCAATGAGAGCTAAACCCTATTCAATACTTTCAAATGGCAGATGAGAGCCAGATGACCACTACAAGGTATAAGAATGTCCTCACTAGCGAAACTCAATCACGGAGACTCAACACGTCAAAAACAAGAGGAAATAATGTCACCAATGTAAGACGCACTTGTAAATCACAGACCTTCACCAAAGCACTGAGCCATTCAAGCAATGGTGACGTGCCCAAGCATATGTAAATGAGGATATAGTTTGGAGTTAAAGAGTAGGTCTTAATGATTTAGGTAAAACTGTCATGAAATGCAATCAAAACTAAATTCAAGGTGGCTCTGCTAATTAAAACCATTTATTTGTTATTTAAATTTGATTCCCATTTATGTTGCAGCCCAATGATATGCTACAAAATTGTGGACTAAAACCAAGGTACTGGTTCTGACGCACTCACTTAACAGCTAAAAGGTTCAGGGTTCAATTCCTGGGTTGCATGGGCCTTTCTGTGTAGAGTTTGCATGTTTCACCCCATGTCTAAGTGGGTTTTCCATCAACCTAAAACATGCTCAAAAGATAAAAT